CCGCCGCCGCCGCCGCCGCCGCCGCCGCCGCCGCCGCCGCCGCCGCCGCCGCCGCCGCCGCCGCCGCCGCCTGATGTCCCTAAAGTCCACCCCCAACCCCAACCCGCGCTCTGCGCCATCGACGACAAGCACTTCTCCGTTCAGGCCGGAGTCGAGCAGATCAGTCCTCGAAGGGAGCCCGGAGCCTCGCACCGCACACCGACTATGTGGTTTTAAAAAGAACCGGGGAGGGGTGCAGCACCTTTTCACCTTTTCAACTTTCGAAATTGAAACTCGTAATTTGTTAATCGGGTGTGCGTGCACTTCTGTGGACCATGGTTTCGGGCGATTGAGTATTTTTATTTGAACGACGGCCTTTGAGTGGAAGGCTCAATGGTACTTCCCCATAGCCTCACCGCTGCTGCCACGGCTGCTACCAAGAGAGATAGCCTCTACCAAGACCAAGGTGACACAGGCCGTCTGTTAGTTGCTGAGCAGCTGAGCGCCCCCAAAGAGGTCGAGGCCACCGACTGCCTTCGTCGTTGCTGTACAACGGCAAGCTAACGACGACGTCCTCCATCTCCAGCGCGACACGCTGCTCAGCTCACTCGCCGCGACAGCGGAGCGGACGGAATGTGTCGACAAAGAATGTAAAATGTATGGGAGAGGAGGTGAGCTGAGCAGGTCCCTCTCCGTGCCCGTGGGCTACGCTGCAGCGATTCAGCCAGCGGTCGGCTTTAGAGGGAGGCGTTAACTCAGGGCCTCAGCGAGCCATATCAATATTGAACAACATCGAGAGGTGGTGTGTGAGTGTGTGTGCGTGTGTGTAAAGGGGGGGGGGGGTATTTGAGCAGGGGGAGGTGGGCGTGGTGGGCTGCGGCGCCGGTGACCTTGGGGAAATCACACTAAGAGCCAAATCGCTGAGGCTATCTTGCCCCCCCCCCTCCATCGCCTCCCACCATCCCCTCGTCACGAGTCTGGTTAACTTAGGCCCCTTGGCCGTTCGTTGTCCTTGCAGGTAACCCCCCCTCGCCCCTCCCCCTTTCCTCTTACCTGTCCGCCCTTATTGGCACAACGTAGCAATAGCCCCCCGCACGGCAGGGCCAACAACAACTACGCCCAAAAGTTTGGGGGAGGAAAAGGGCGAAAAGGATGAGGGAGGGAGCGGCGGAGGGTTCTTGGAAATAACAAACCGCGGTTTGTGAAAGGGGAGGCTGGCCGGACCGAACCAAGTCTGACCGCCGCGCCGCGCCGGGGCGGGGGGGCTGGCCTGGCCTTTCACTTGTCTCCAGATTCTTTTGGCCCCCAGAGGACGTCCGTCGTCGTCCTCGACGACCGCTGCGAGCAGCGGAGGGGGGCACGACGCGTATGTGCCTGTGTAGCAGTGGGCGGGGGGAGGATGGGGGCTGAGCACCGGGCACCGGGGCTGCGCGAGACCAGGGAGCACGCAAGTTCGCAACTCGGCGTTTCTGGAATGAATGAACATAAAAAATAAAAACTACTCACTGATGCTGTGAAGAATCCGGTCTAATCGCATACGTTTCAATAATGATTGAGAAAATAATGACGCAGCAAGTCGACAGCTCCAAGTTTTCACAGCAGAAGCGGGGCGGAACTCACCCTTCGGCCGCCAGGGCGCGCCACCGTCGGGGCGCTGTGTCAGTCAGTTGTCAGACGTTGACGAGCGACGTGCGACGCGACGCGATTGTCTGTTAGTATCTGTTGTGTTGGTGTCATAAGTCGGAGTGCGCATTTCTTGAATTTTCTGCGTTTTCTGGTACAACTGCAGTGGAATTCATCATGGGTGAGTGCTGTATAGTTATGTAATTACGTTGAAAAGTAACAGTTTGAAGTACTCGGACGTCTTCAAGAAGTTGAGAGAGGGTCAAATCATGGTCAAATGAACCCATTGTGAGACATTTGCTGCAATGCCGTCGCGGCCGCTGTCTCTCTGCTACTCTTTATTGTCGCAGGGAGAGGGACAATTTCATCCTTTATGTGCGCGTGAATTCATAGTGAATGTTCTTTTATTTGCTGAATAACAATGTATGATTTAGCTTATCCAGTGTTGATGCAGAGAGGGAATGTTCCATGAAAATCATTGCCATATGATCAAAATAATTGACTTTTCAGTTTTGCTTTACAATGATATATTTTGGTAGGGGTGACATTCGCACCAAGTGCGAATTACGCAAAATTTCCTATTCACCTTTGTTGTGCCAATATCCACAACGCAAGCTCAAATATGCACGTTAGTCCTGCATGTATTTTTAAACTATGTGTTTAAATACATAAAAATATGCACGAATCAAAGTTTAATGGGCATAGTGGTTGAATCAGCATGCCTACAAGGTGATTGGGAGTGATTACTCAGCTGTGAATGAACCGTCCTGTATTCTCCATGATGATTAGTACTATCATCTCAAGAGAATGTGAACGGAATGTGTATTTGTTGTTCGACCTACCCCGTTTCCCTTTGTGGCCACTCAAGTAGCAAGGGCAGGGGGGCAACATTTGAGACTGACTTTCTCGAGTGGTTTTGAAGGAGATCAAAATGTTGGTCCACACGATGGTGTAATTTAAATTTATGGACCATCCCTTCCTCTTTTCCCCTGCTCCCAGTCCCAGTTCTCCCCCATTCAGCTCGGGGCTGCCGTCCAGTATGTAAATCGTACTCTTGTGAACTAGATCGTTTGCTCGCGCCCTCCAGCCCCTCCCCGCTCCCTCCCTTCCGCGGGCCGGCGGCCCCGTCGCGCCCGCATGTCCGGTGTGCTGGGGGCGGGCCCAGGAGGGCCGGGCCCGAGGGGGAGGGGGGGGGGGTGACGGACCCGCCTTCAAAGCGATCCGATCGGCCTGATAATAACCTACTCAGCGCCCCGTCAATCTGTGTTTGTGTTGACTGTCTGGTTCGAAGGGACCGGAGCAGCAGCAGCAGCGTCGTCCGTGTGAACGTGAACGGCGGCGCGTCGTAGGCTGGGCACTTCTTGGGGGGCGCACGCGAGGTCACCCGAGGAGACGCGAGGTGCCGACGACGGGCACCCACCCAGCCCACTCACTCCCGGCCCGGCCGGCTTGTGGACAAGGTGGACGTCGTAGTACCGGTCCTGTCGGCGGCATTGGGTACCCCGCGCACGCTCTCGCGCGTGACGTCTACAAATTGAGCAGATTTCCCCTCCAAGACGAGACGCGGCGGGTGACGCGCGGCGCTACCCCCTGCGGCGGCGGCGGCGCGGGGTATCGCTGCGGTACTCGAGTCACCTCGCGTGTCCTCCTGCTGCTACTGCTGCTGCTGCTGCTCGGCTCGGTATGACGTTTACAGAATTGTTCGATTAGACGGCTGCTGTACACGGTACACCAATGTGGAGGAAAGCTGGAAGGGTGCAAGGTGGGTCGAAAAAAAAACAACAACCCATCATCAATAAAACAAGTTTGCCGCTATAACAATTGTTGCTCGTCGCGCGCGAGGTAGAGAGAGAGAGAGAGAGTTGCCACTTCTCGTTCGCTGCTGGAGTGATGGTGAGGCCTCGACCCCCCGCGGCGACCTCTGGTCCTCCGGGGGGGGACAAAGGGATCGAGTCGCAGCGGAGGTGTCGACAAGGTAAACGGAAAACCGGCGGCGGGGAAGAGAGAGGGGGTGGAGGAGGAGGCCCCGGTCAAACACCACGCGTCGCACTGATCAATGACCGCCGGTCAAACAACCCGTTTCTTTGCGATTGCCCGGAGAGATACTTGTCTCCAGGGGAACGACAAATGCGTTTGGAAACTGAGTGCGCCGTATATACCGCGAGCCGTGCCCGGCTGCGGGCCCGGCTGTGGCAGTAGCAGGACGCGATTTGTTAAAAA